CCGCGCCTCCATCCTTTCATTTTCTCTTCTTCAATCTTTCTCTCTTACCTTCGCTGCTGCTCTACCACCCTGAGCGCCACGCTGTACCCCTGCCGTTCCTCACCTCTTCTCTGACTATCGCAAAGATACCATCCGCTCATACGATGCTCACCATGCCCGACAACTGGTTGGTGAATTTCCCAAGCTAATTTTTTTGTCCCTTCTTCTTTGAAACAATGGATTCGGATATGGAGTACATATACGAACACTATGCTGAGTCGCCCGACATCTCGTTTGACGAGGAGAACTACAGGGACGAGACGGCGATGATGCAGGCGATGCTTCAAGACACGGAACATGTGGAGGAGCATGTTCTAAATTTCAGGGGATCGATTACGGGTCATTTAACGCTGATGGATGACTACTTTGCCCCTGATGCCCTATTTGCTGACAATTTTCGCCATCGCTTTCAGATGGGCAAAGATTTCTTAGACCATCTTTACCATGGCGTCTGGTCCTTTGATGACTACTTCATCTTGAAGAAGAATGACGTGGGAAGCATTGGGTTCTCTTGATACCAGAAGTGCATGGCTGCACTACGGATGCTTGCATATGACATGGTCGCTGATTCATGGGACGAGTACCTACGGATGTCCGAGAGCACATGCGGAGATGTCATGGTTAGGTTTACAGCTGCAGTGGTCAAGATGTTTGGATCTCAGTACCTGAGCAAACGAACTGTGGCAGACACCGAGAGGCTCTTGGCAATCTCGGAAGCAAGAGGGTGGCCAGGTTTGCTCGGATCACTTGACTACATGCATTGAAATGGAAGAACTACCCGAAAGCTTTACAAGGTCAAATATCATGTTCATGGTAAGAAGCCCATCATCATTCTTGAAGCAGTTGCATCATAGGATCTTTGGATTTGGCACGCTTTCTTTGGCGTGCCCGAGTCTCATAAATGACATCAATGTGTTGCAGCGATGACCATTGTTTCCTAGGCTGACTGAACGAAAAGCTTCTCCTTACCACTATACTGCCAATGGGCATGAGTACAATATGGGCTAATATCTGGTTGATGGTATCTATCCTGCTTGGCTACCTTTGTGAACACCATCTCTAACCAATTGGTCAGAAAAAGTCTCACTTTGTCCAAAGACAAGAAACAAAGGATGTTGAATGGCTTTTGGAGTTCTGCGGGCACATTTTGCAGTTGTTCATGGACATGCTAAACATTAATGGGATCCGGAGACCTTGTGGAAGGTGATGACCTGTTGTGTGATCATGCACAACATGATCATGGAGGATGGGGGTGAGGATGCTGCTGCAGGTCTTGAATTTGAGAATATGGGTGATCCTATCAAACGTTTCCACCAAACTCCAACCACATTTGAACAGTTTGTTCAAAGGCATCAGCTAATTCGGCATCGAGCAACTCATGAGCAATCAAAAGAAGATCTAATTGAGCATTTATGGGTGGTTAAGGGGAACAACAATGTTGGATTGTAATATTTGTTTTTTTTATTTGGACTACTGTTGCATTTGAACATTTGAACTATTTTGGATTATATATGCTACTAGTTGATCGTGCAGACTTAAAATAAAATAAAATTTAGGGTCAGATATATGCAGACAACGTTGGGTGGCTGGCTCCCGCATCCGTGTCCGTGGACTGGTCCCTCACTATCCGTGAACGGATACCAGAGCAAATTGCCGGTCAGTGTTGGAGACACCCTCAGAGAGTTATCAAAGCTCGAAACTTCGGCTGTCCGGACATCAAACTTCATTGACCGAATCGTAGGAGCACAAGAGATCACACGAACAAACTCCAAAGCGGACGCTCAAACCTTCCACAAGGATCCAAACCAAGTTGTCCCGACACAACATTTTTCCAAAATGTTCCAACTAGTGTGTTTTTTTCCAAAATCTTGGCGGAAGGAAAACATGATTAGCAATGGATTAATGCATCCTCCTTCAGAGTGCTTGCTTCATGTTAAACAAAGAGAAGGTAAAAAAGTATTGTCGATGGCATTTGGCCGAACACTTATCAGATGTGGTGTTTGCTATGGACGGCGTCGACAGGGGGCGGACAATACCCGAGCCGTCGACCGACCTGAGGGTGCAACGGCGATGAATTACAAGGCGCCTGGGTGGAGCAACGGTTGTTCGGCAAGATTTTTTTTTTTTTTGAAACGGAGGCAAAAGCTTTGCCTCATCCATTAAATAAGAGAGAATAGAGTTTGTTACAAATCACCCATGACACCACATGGATTATTACTCTCGCGATATGAAAGACTCTAATTTTTTTGCACCGGCGATGACCCAAAGGTTGGCCTCGGTCGAGATGGTGTTAAGCAAGATAGTCGGTGGAGCGCTTTTAAACCTATGTTCGGCAAGAATTGAGCGGCAACCAGAGTGATGTAGAGGTAGCGGCGGTCTTTCTGGGTGTGGATACAGAGCAAGAGAGGAAGGACGAAGTGGGAAGAAAGGGCTCCGAACCGGGTTTTGAGTGGTCCGGTTGTGTTGGAGTCCAATATGGGGCGTCTACACTCTCCCAAATATCTCCAGCTTTGTTATCTGCTTGGCGGAATTCGCACATGCGAACCAGTCCATGAATGTTTGATGCACGACACCGGATGATACAGAGTGTTTGTGCTAAACAAATGGTTGGCGTCGTTTTAATACACGACGATGGAGATTCCTTACAACGCAGATTCCCATCTCTTGCTCCTTAGTTTATTTGGACCGGCTTTGTCTAAATACCAATCTGAAGTTGGTCGTACCCCGTCCGCCATAGGCCAGTATGGTATTGACCTAGCAGGAGTATGCGTAACTTGGATATTCTTTTCAAGGTAATTAAGGATGAAATTAGACGCGAGAGCATACAGAGTGCACATGCGATCAACTAGCTAAAGGGGAAGTGCATCCATGAACCCGGATACATATGAATCCACTTTAAAACATTTCTAAATGCTGAAAATATCTGAAAAAGATTGCACGGATACATCTTCATGTTTTATGTGCCTGCATAAAGTTTCACGATAAGTTTTTTATGGCATGTGCAAAAAAGACAAAAATTTATCATTATGATACAATATTGTGCTTCTAAATAGATACAATATTGTGCTTCTAAATAGACAAAAATTCTCGGGGTTAGTTGAAGTTGTTCTAGTATGTCTTTATAACAGCCGTTTGGTTGGATGTTTATCTGTCTGGCTACCTTTGGTTATGCCTATGAGCTTTGAACTCTGTTGCTTGGTTTCATTAATGAGATAATTCGAGTTAGTTTTCGTCATAACAATCGGCGGGTAAGATATAATTAGTCATGTAGACGAATGTTGGAAGGGACATATCGAACCAAGAAAGTATATATACTAGCCTGCCTTATTATAATGTTATTTCCGTTCAAAAATTAATGGAAAGGGTGATGACCCCCTTTTTTGTAAAAAAAATGTGTTTAGTTTGGTATAAATAATGATACTTTTTTAAGACTCTGAAAATGCTTTGATCGGTCTATGTTTTGATTGATGTGTTAGAAGGGATACTTTTTTAAGAATAATATCTTTTGTGAATAAATATTTTTCATAAAAGGAATCAATACGTTGGGTATACCACTTTATATTTGTAGCATATGTTATGACAACACGTATAGGAAAGTTGAAGAAATTTGTACACATGACAACACGCGTTAATTCAAATGTTCAACTACGCATTTGAAACAATATGTTGTACGTGAACGTGATGACATAATATGTCTGACGACATAATATGTATATACGCTACCACTGAAGAAAACCGGGGGCAACTAGAGGTCCATGTCCAGTTAGTTATTCTAGATTGTTCATTGAAAAGACACTTCCAGTCAGTCTTCTCGTGTATTTTTTTAGAAGGTACAACCCACTTTGTTATAATATTCTGTTACTGGCTTACTCAAGCGATACAAAAATAAAAGGACATCGCTAACGCCCACACGTGTGGTGGGAGCCAAATCCGCCCACACACCTTATAGCACACAGACTATACCATGTCACTGCATGCATGCATGTGGAAATCTTTTTGAATTTTCTGTTTTATAATGTTTTATCTCTTAAATGAAAAATCCGATTAAAGATCCGTTTTCACCATTAAACCCTCGCAACCAGATCTTCGAAACTAGATCTCATATCAATATATTTCGACGAATTATTTTTGGGGTTAAAAGTTATCGTGTCTATTGCACATGAATTGCCGTGATGTTTACACTGAAGTTGTCATGATATATTTCAGCTATTTTCTTCTACATTTAAAAGTAAATTTTGACATATCATAAAACAAGGAATTAAGAAACTAGACTTGCCAAGCACCATAAATTAAAATTGCCATGATACATGCACTTAAAATTGCCATGGTTCATACAAAAAAATATTTTTATGGTCAAAGTACCAGAATTGCCATCATCGAAAAACTAAAATTGCCATGATCTACAAACTAAAATTGCCACATGGCAACTATAGTTTAAGCACTATGGCAACTACAGTGTAAACATCATGGCAACTTTTAGGCAAAAGAAATTTCGTCAAAATACATCAACATGAGGTCTAGTTTTGAAGACCTCGTCGAGACGCATTTAATGGTGAAAACAGATTTTTAATTCGTTTTTTTAATTAGAAGATAAAACATTTTTAAGCCGAAAACCAAAAAAAAATCTGTTGATGCCATCTGTTCATACGTGGCAAAATGAGTGGTGATGAAGACGTGTGGACGATGTGCAAACGCCCACACGTGTGGGCGTTAGTTTTTCCGAAATAAAACCTGTCGGTGCTCCCCAACAGTTTCCATGTCCCAATCCTTTCTAGGGATTTTAAGTAATTCAAGTGACTGTTTCCGGCTTTCCACTATGAGAATAATGACAAGAGTAATTCAACTTATATTTACTATTAGGCTTTTTAAATACAAAATGCAGCAGCAAACCAATACTATTATTTTGGTCCACTCCTTGTATTGTTTTCTTGCGCTGACTTAAAACATCTTATCTTTTTCAGATATAAGAGATGATATGCCTGATGATTTATCTCCATCGGCACAAATTGATTATGACAGACTTCTGGGTGGCCTTCTGGTCGAGGGATTTGATGAAAGATCGTGTCGCAGCAGGTACCAGTTTGCACGTTATCACAGGAATGCAGCAAGAGTACCTTCTTCATACCTCATAGAAAGATTAAGGAGGCAAGAAGCACTGCAAAAGAAGTGTGGTCCAGGCACCAAATCATACAACAATGCTGCAAAACAGCTCATGTCCACTCAGAGCATCAACGGCACATCGGATTGCAACTATCTCTTCCTGATAATCCATGCCGGGATGGGGAACCGGATGCTTGAGATCACTTCAGCGTTCCTTTACGCGCTTCTGACAGGCAGGGTTTTGCTTGTGGACCGTTCTAAGCAGATTGCCAGTACTTTCTGCGAGCCTTTCCCTGGAACTTCATGGTTGATTCCTTCAGATTTCCCTCTGAGCTATAATGAGTTCACCGAGCGTAGCCCAGAGAGCTACGGCAACATGTTGCAGGATAATGTTATCCGTGGCAACACTTATCGGTCTCTAACCAGTGCTAGGCCACCCTATGTGTTCCTCTATCTTGACGGCGACTGCGCTCCCAACGACACGCTTTTCTACTGCGAAGACCATCAACAGTTCCTGCAAGGCGTGCCGTGGCTGATCATGCGAACCGACATGTACTTTGTGCCGTCACTGTTTCTTATCCCAAGTTTCCAAGATGAACTGAGCAAGCTGTTTCCTGAAAAGGACACCGTTTTCCATCACTTGGGCCGGTATCTTCTTCATCCCACAAATGATATCTGGTATTCGGCGACAACGTACTACAGGGCCTACCTTGCTAAAGCTGACAAAGTAGTGGGGATACAGATCAGAGTACTTGAAACCAAGGGCATCCTCCAAAGAAATGGGCCATTTCCACACGTTTTAGAGCAGGTCCTTTCTTGTGCTCAGGGTGAAAAGCTGCTGCCACAAATCATCGGCGAGACCCATGAAGCAGCCACCGGGAATAATCGGACAATTGCCGTTCTTGTGACTTCGTTAAGCTCTTGGTACAGTGATCAGATCCGGGGAAGGTACAGCGAGCACGGGACCGTCGACGGCACCACGGTCAAAGTGTACCAGCCGAGCCACGAAGAGTACCAGAGGTCCAAGAACAAGAAGCACAACATGAAGGCGCTGGCGGAGATCTACCTGCTCAGCATGAGCGATGTGCTCATCACCAGCGGGTACTCCACCTTCGGGTACGTCGCACAGGGCCTCGCCGGCCTCACGCCATGGATCATGTACAAGCCCGAGGACGACCTGTACAAGCCCAAGAACCATGTCGTGCCGAAGCCACCATGCGGCCGCGCCATGTCCATCGAGCCGTGCTTCCACCAGGCCCCCTACTTCGACTGCAAGGCCAAGAGCTTCGCCGACCTGGGCAAGGTGGTGCCGTACGTGAGGCACTGCGAGGACGTCAGCTGGGGGCTCAAGATTGTAAATGAAACTCAGTTGTAGCTGTAACTTTTCTTTTCTTTTCTTTTCTTCACACGGTAACACAATTGCTTGCTAAGATAGAGGGTAGGCTTCTCTTTTTTTTTTACGGGAAAATATGTTCCACAGATGTATTTTTTTTCCTCTCGTGCATTTGATCCGAACTGTAGATAGTGGAAGATAAGCAGGTTCATCAATAGGAAAAATAC